TTTTCTGCAATTTCATGGCTATCTGCTAAATTTTTACATTGTTGCTTAAGTTTTGCACACCAGTGTATATATATATATATATATACATGTATGTGTATATGACCTCTATGAGTTAGTTGTTGGTAGGTGGTATGAGGAATTTGAATGCACTGAAATAGTAATTTTTAATGCCTGCAGATTGGATAGTATTGAATCCAGTGTTCAGATGCTCGTTAGATCTCATCCCCCAGATTCTGTGCAGGTCAACTAGAGTAAGTCAAAGTTTCTGTCATTCTCTTTGAACCATCTGGGAACAGTGGTAGCTATAAAACAGGGAGCATTCTATCGCTGAATGAATCTAACTATGGCAGTGTTCTTTATCAATATAAAAGAATGTATCGTAAATTCCGGTGTATAACGCTTACTTTTTACACAAAATATAAGATCGAAATTTACGGGTTGTACGCCGGGTATAAAAAAATGAGAGCTTTAGAAATAAAAAGATCAGCACAGAAAAAAAATTAAACTTCTACTTATATAGAAATGCTGCTTATCTAAAAGAAATGACAAACCTTATGAGCTTAATGGGGTGTAGTTCGAGAAGTATACCATTTTTCTAGTTCCTCGCGGCGAATAATGACTTTAAAACATAAGAATATTGCACTCGTGCATTTCAGGTTCCTTCGTACAAAAGGGGTGCGCGTTATACGGCGAATATATCTAAAAATTAAAAAGTATGGGTATGCGTTGTAAGCCGGATTTTACGTTACTTGATGAGTGGTAACAATTATATACACTTGGTCATTCAGACGCTCTTCCACACAAATCAAAGGATCCCTGCAATGCGCGAAGACTTTTATATTGCCTCCACTAGCTTGAAAAACTGTGACAATGCAGATAGGGGTCGTACATTTATTTTGTTTTCTCAACATCGCCCTCTACAGAGTGGAAAATCAGATTCCTCCAGCCCTTTTCTAGTCCAATCCAATGGTTGTGCTCCTTTGCGAACTGGAGACATTCAAGGCCAACAGCAGAGGCTTTCGAAGAGGTCCTCTACCAGGGAAGGCGAACCATTGGCACGCAACACAATATTTTGAGCACGTCAACGATCCAAACGATTTGTATTTTAATTCAAAATAACCAAGTTTTACGAACAAACGCGAGGGATCGGTCGCAGTTTTCAGCGAGATTTTCTCAGTTCAAAAAATTATTGGAAATGCTCAAGTTTTTTTTTTATGTACCCTGATGTGATTTCATTTAATAAACTGAATTTGTTCTAATTCTATTGGTTAGAAATTGAAAATTTTGAAATGGAACTGATTTATTTCCAGTCTAGTTTAATATGGATTTAAAAATGTGTTGATAAAAGGAGAAAAGTTGGAATTGGATTGAAACAGAAAGATTAACAAACATTATAAATAAAAATGCTAATAATGAAATTTTGGAAACATGGAATTCGATTCTAGGCACATTTAACTGTTTGAAGAAGCTCGCTAATGCTCTTTTAACCCTATTTTCATCTACCCGCCCCTGCGAGTCATTATTTCAAAGATGAATAACATTAAAGACCGGCTTAGAAACTCTTTGGTAGATGACTGCATTTCTGCATACATTCCGCTAAAAGTAACATTTTACAATCCTAATATAATGTATTTTTCATCTAATCACCAGCAGCAGAAATCACATGAATGTTACTTTAATTAGAATTATACGTATAACTAAAACATTTACTACTATAAAGTGCAAAATGTATTTTTTTTTAAATAAATAAAGAGTTTTGAGTTGTTAATATTTAGTTTTATTATTTTCCTAATAATCACAAATCATAATTATTATACCTCATTAAACATTTCTTTAGAAAAAAATGGCACGTTGATCCATAGTGGTTCGCCACCCTGGCCAATACGGTGTAGTGTGTGACGAACAGTTCGTTCTGAGACGTTCGCAGTTGCTCCTGGACTATAAGATACCTTGCAATTTGAAGTAGGGTTGCTCTTCTTTTGAACTGGACAAATTTCGAAATTCTTATTTTCAAACAAATTTTCAGTAGACCGTGATGACCCCAAGCCTGACGTGGAGACACGGTTTTTTTAGCTCTTATAAATCCACTCTCTCTGCAAACTTTAATAACAGCTGCTCTCGAAGACTTCATGAGCTCTGATACCGGCTCCGACGCTTCAAGCACCTTCAATCTCGCTTTCAAACTCTGCTCAGTTTCTTTTTTTCCTTATTTCTTCACAAGCAACACAGTGTTTATTTCCGCCCTCAAGTGGCAACAAAGTAAAGTTATGGCTGATCTCCGTAAAAGTGTCACGAGGTCATAATAATTTGGCCACTCACTATATGTATATGTGTTTTAATATGGCCAGAAAAGGGCACTCGAAACGAACCTATATTCGTTCATTATAGAGTAGGTGGTTTGATAGTAAGGGCGGAATCAACATAGGTGGACGTACTGACCTGCATATCATTCGGAATGGCCATTTGAAGACTCGAAGGTTTGCAAACGAGATTCTAAGATCGTATGTCAAACCTTACCCTGTAGCCATTTGTGATTCCTTTCTTCTAATGCAGGATAATGCCAAATCTCATACAGTTCGTCTTGTAAAGGACTCATTTGAAGTGGAAACAATACAGCTTATAGAGTGGCCAGCATGTTCTCTTGTCTAGCATACATGGAACTTATTTGGACGACGCATTCAGCGAGATCACTTCTTTCGCTTACTGTCCAGGACTTGGAGAAATTGCACTCCTTGAAGAGGGGATCAGTATTCCTCGAGGTCTCGTCGATAACCTCGTCGCAACCATGCTAAATAGGTGTGCGGCAGTCTTAGCAGTTCGGGGGGAGGCTTATTCAACATCCTGTATCAGTTCTAAGCAATCAGCTTTTTGTCATTTACATGTAACCAAATTATTGGCCTGAAGCATCATTTTACGTTCTTTATACCATCACAAAAATTAAGGTTTCCATACAATTGGGTTTTTTTTTTTTTATTTTTTCTGTTTTAAGTTTTGTTACACCTGTACTTCCTATTTCCTGCCCATGCACGACTGTTGCATAACGGTTTCTTTACTTGTTTGCTTGCTACCCTAACTTTTTGAGCAGCGTAGTAAGAACACGTTGTCGTTCAGTTAAGTCCGTGATGCTAAAAACGAAGCGACAAGTCTAAATAAATTTAGGTTTATATTTCGTGGTGGTTTCAATTTTCCTCTTTCAACCCGTCACACACACATAAACATGTTTAAGTGGTGTTACCCTTAAATAGAAGCTTAATTTAGTTGAGACTTGTAGATGCATCCAGTGAATTAAGCCGATTTCCATATGAAATCCTCACTTAATCCCTGGTTATACCAGAATACGCGAAACATACGAGAGGATTTTAAGCCGCGACATATTTTAACGTGCGCGAGCCTTTTCTGTGCTAAGGCCTTCGTTTCAAAATTATAAGTCACGAGCCCATTACCTATTGATTACGAACTCTCTATCAAAAGGTTATTGGTGAACAATGTATCGGGCTCCTAAATATTTATAATAATAGTGACTCTATTATTATACATGTCTTGGGATACTTCTATTAATAATTTAGCTTTAAATTAAATTTACGGTGTTTAATATGTTTGATTAATGATTATTTATAATGATTCCAATTTTCCAAAAAAGGAAAATGGTTTAGATTCCCCAGGAAACAAATCCTCCCCACCCCACGTTCGGTTTTTATTAAAAACAAGAAATATATAAAAAAAAAATAAGCCAATTCCTACTTATGTTAACAAAGATAAATTTTATTTTATTTACTTTTTAGTAAATAGTTACAATTAATATAAATATGTATATACATAGAACAGAATCACAATACTGACAAAATAGAAAGCGATTTTCTTTGCCATTTTGCATTTTCCTTTCTATATAGGGCGTTGGACTATTTTTTTGTTTGTTTGTTACTATTTATTCATTCATTAAATTTAGTTATTTAAAAATAGCATAGTAAAAAAGAACTCGCATTCTCAGAAATTAGAACATCCCAAATGGGATTCGAACCCACGACCTTTGGATTAGATGTTCAACAGGCTATCCATGGCGTTACAGGGTCACAACGAGCGATTTTCCTTCTTATATATGCTGTTGGGCTATTATTTTTGTTTGTTACTATATTTCATTTTTTAATTTAATGAATGAATTAATATTAGAAAAAACTGCATAAACATCAAATGTCATCCACTACAAGTTTTAAAAAATGTAGTTGAACTTGAATGCATGCATAGAAAGCATTTTATTAACCATTGCAAATTCGAACAAATATGTATATAAAATATATAGAGAGAGAAAGTGAACTAATAGTAAGAATTAAAAAAGATCTTACTTTATATTTTCATAGAAATACACAGCTCACGAAATTAAGACAAATTCACAATATATATGTATAACCATATAATACAAAAATAAAATATAGATTCCCTTCTTTCATATATAATTACAAATCAAAGGTTAATTTACAATATACATACACAATACAAATGTACAAATTCAAGAATAATAATTATAATAATAAAAGAGAACATATCTGTAGGGTAAAAAATATCTCATTCCAGCAATTCTTGCAAGTGTATCAAGAACACCACTTCTCTCCAGATAACGCCACCATTTCCTGATGGGTTAGTGGAGACGGATATCGTAACTTTAGTCAATAGACGAGGATGACATTTAAGCTGGCACTCCACTCTCCTAACCACGCCAAAGCGAAGACCTCAACAAATTTAACATGCATCAGCCACTCCTCTACTGGTCAGGGGGTACTCATTTCCAGGACTCGATTCAATATTGTATGCCAATTCTTCCGGTACTACTACGTTTATTACACAGAGAGATTTCTTGTCACCTGATTACTTTGGTGCTAGAGGCTTCAAGGCAAAACTTTCTTATTAATTATCGGAAGTAGTAAATTAGATTAAGGTATTCAAAATTATTTGCAAAACATTTTTTTTAAAATTGAGTTGCGAGGAGTTTTTCCAATTTCCAGAATTGTTTAAAAAACTGTATGAGAAAAAAAAATTCTAAACAGAAAAAAAAATTATATCCAAATATGAAAAAAAAGCTGAAAATTTACAAAAAAATAACATAAGCGCATGTGTGTGTGACCTGCCACTCTGAGCAAAATATTTAGGAACGAATTTTCGATTTTCGAACATTCTGTTTTTACATTGATATTATTTTTTAGGGCGACCTGAAACATAACAGAAATTTAAAACTGTTTAAAAAAAAGGATCACAGTTAACATTAATTACTGTTTGCAATATCATTCAAAAATACACGTTATGTTTATTTAAAATGGTTATACATTTTGTAATATTGCCGTGATTATTAAAAAAAGTATTTTTAAACAATTATAATATTACATTAAATATTCTAAAAAAAAATTATTTTTATAAATTTTTGAGGCAATCTATGCTTTTTTTCAAATTTTCCGAAAAAGCGTATTTTGGGTAAGACGGAATTAAAGTCGGTCAACTACACACTGAAGAAAACAGTAGCATCCTCTATTTATAAAACAGTTGTAACTTTTGTACTAGTAAATGTGAGATAAAAACAATTTGGTATTTTTTATAAACTTAAATTTGTATTACAGAACTAAACTGTAATCATATTTTTCGCGTTCTGAAGAAAATTCCAAGATTTTCAGGCGGTCCTGAACCACCAAATTTTAAGAGGGGGAGCAGTCGCCTCCTCCATCTCACGCAACGGATGCTACATTAGAAAGGGTTTTAGATGAGGAGATCAATCCAAGACTTCCGTGAATTTTGTTTTAGATGCCCTCTGGCTTGTGCAACTCATGCCTTCAGACGATATAAATAATGTACCATCTTTATATATAAAAATTGCGTGTCACAGTGTTTGTCCGCGATAAGCTCCAAAGCTATTCTACCGATTTCAATATAATTTTGTATATAGTGTGTGATTTCGTCCAACTTAAAATATAGGATAGTTTTTATTTCAATTCATGACGTCATAATTTTTTTATTTTATTTTAAATGTGAAAAATCCGGGAAACGGGAAAATAGGCAAAGTGTCGTTTGCAGAAGCGGATTTTGTGGATCAAAGGGCACGAAAAGTAAATGTCTGGCTTATTTCGGGGCAGGGAATCCGAATTTCGAATCGGTTTCGAACTTTGCCGGATAATGCCGGTCAACAGCATTTTAGACACACCGTAGCAGGGGCTTACCTTAAGAGCCTTGGAGCACAAAAAATAGGTCTCTGACGTATTTCAAAAAGGGCAATCCGTATCTAATATCCTATCTGAGAAATTACCTTAACTTTGCCGAATAATTCCGGACGACCGTCTATTACGCGAACCATCACAGGTGCTACCCTAAAAGTCATAGAGCGAAAAAATTGCGTTTCTGGTGTATTTCGGAATGATGAATGAGATACTAAAATCGAATTTTAGAAATTACCTTAACTTTATGTGGGATATGTGGGACGGCTGCCCATAACGCGAACTGTGCCTGGAACTTACCCAAAAAGTCTTCGAGTGGAAAAAAGTGCGTTTCTCATGTATTTCGAGATAGAATATGAACTTTAATTTTAGAAATTTCTGTAACTTTGCCGGATAATGCCGGATGACCCTATTTTAGACACACCGGGACAGAGGCTTACCTTAAAAGTTTGGGAAGGCGAAAACTTGGTCCCTGACTTATCTTAAAACGGACCATCTCAATCTGATATCTGATTCGAGAAATTCCCGTAATTTGCCGGATTATTCCGAACGACCATATTTTACGCAGAGTGTGGCAGGGGCTTGCCCTTAAAGTCTTGCGGATGAAAAGTCCCTTTCTGGTATACTTCGGGGTGGTGAACGAGAATCCGAAATCGAATTTTAGAAGCTCCCGAAATTTTTCCGGATAATGCTGGAGGACCTTAATGTCCCCCCCCCCCCTTCCCTCCCAGGAACTGAACTCGCAGTCTCGAGAGCAATGAAAGTTGTCTCCAGTTGCGTATAGGGGCGGGAAACGACAATCTCATATTTCAGAAACTACCGTAACTTTTGCAGGATATTACCGGAATTAGGTGGAAAGGCTTTGTATTCAAGTCCCACGTCCAGATTTTTATTCCCTCTAGCGACTGAAGGTGCACACGCTGGGGCATCAAAAGTCAGTCATATGTGCGTTTTGAAGAGTGGAAAGAGAATCTGGAATCGAATTTTAGGAGTTCTGATAACATTGCCGGATAATGCCGTATGACCATAATATTCACGGACAGTGGCACCGGCCTAACTTGCAGACGTAGGAACACAAAAAGTGAGTCCTGCTCGAGATCGCTGATCTGAATATTCCCATCCGATTCAAGAAAAGCCCATAACAATGTCAAACAACGCCAGACGATCGCATTGCGAAACAATGCCAGATCCGTATTTTATGCGAGCCATGGCAGGGGCTTACCTTAAAATTCTTGGGGTATTAAAAGTGATTACCTGGTATTTTTCTGGGTGGGGTACAGAGTTCTGAAATCGAATTTTAGAAGTTCCGATAATTTTGCCGGATAATCCCGGACGACCGTAATGCCCCCTTCAGATACTGAACTTGCAGAGGTAGGTGCACCGAAAGTGCTCATCCGGTACATCTCGGTGTGGAGAATTGGAATCTGGATTTGGATTTCAGAAACTCCCCAAACTTAGCTGGATATTGCTGGATGAGGTCGAATGGCTTTGCGTTCGTGTCTCGCGTCCGGATGTTCATTTCCTACAGCAACTAAACTTGCAGGCATAGCCTTGCAAAAATTCGATTGTAATAGGAAATTACATTGGCCATTTCATTTTCAGGCATTGTTGTCACTTTGTTAGATGGTGAACAAACTGCATATTCCGCATTCAAGCTGCCATTAGACATTCATAAGAAACCTGGTTCAATATGTACCATTTAAAAACGAAAGGGGATTGACTACGGTATTGCAAAGGAGTTCAGTCATAATCAGATGAGTGTACCATATCCTATAAACATTCACTCGAGGTATTTCATAGAACTTTGCAAGATTTAAGCGAGAGCAACCAATATTCGTTGGTACTGTCCTTCTAAGGTGTCGTGATTTCAGACAGACATTGCCAGTTATTCCTCGAACTACTTTTGCTCACGAGATTAACATATGTTTAAAACAATATTTTATGGTGAAACATCGAAACACTTCGATTGACCATAAACACGCGAGTACAATTGCAAGTTGATCAATCAGCGCAAATATTTTCTAAATGCTGGATATTAGAAACGATGAAGAACTGCATCCCAAACTGCAAACAACTTCTGCACTGCTGTTCAGATGAAAAATAAACTGATTGAGAGTGTCTTTCTGGATATACTGAATAGTTATCTAGATAATGATTGGCTCTGTAATCCTGTTACTTAGGCAGAAAATATGTTGATGTTAACGAAATAAACTTCCAGATATAGAGTTGTTGCCAGGTGATTCAATGCCTTTTAAATAAATAGACCCTATTGTTGATGAAAACAAAACCGTAAATTTTCCAACTGAGTTTTTGACTCTTATCTGGATATGTCAAGAATGCCACCACACAATCTTCGGTTGAAGATTGATTCACTGGTTATTTTGCTGCGTAACTTAAATCTCCCTAGATTATGCAACGGTGCATGTTTATTCTCACCAAAAGAATTACTAGGAAACTTCTTGAAGCAAACATTTTGACTGAAAAGTTTAAAGAAGAAATCGTCCTGTTACCACGTGTTTCACTAATATCACCAGAATCTCCAATACCATTCAAAAAGCTTCAATTCCCGATTCGTTTGGTTTTCGCGATGACCATAAATAAATCTCAAAGCCAAACAATGTCCATTTGATGTTTGAAAATCTATGTTTCTCGAATGGGCAACTATATGTTGCATGCTCACGTATGAAGAGAACGTCGAATCTATAGCAAATAGTTAGCAAAAGACGGATTACCAAAAAATATTGTGCTACGTTTAGAGATTATTTCCATAAACTTATTTATTGTTACACTTTAAAATGATAAAATTAATATAATAAATTGATAAAAACTACGTTAGTCACCTCATTCATAAAACTAAATTTTCTCATTTTGTTATTTAA